TGTCAAGGACACTAGAGGCCTTGGAGGGAATAAGCAGACTTTGATGAGCAGATGGCTTCCCCTGCCTGCAGCCTGGTTCATCCTGCTCCAGGCACCAGTGCCATTTGCTGTGCTGGGATGGCTTAGTCATTGCTGAGTGCACCGAACCCTCTGGCAGTGGCAGCGAACTGCCAGCCCTCACCTCCCAAGCAGGGCTGGGGGCTCTCTGTGTCTCTGAGCAATGGGCCATGTTGCTGTGCACGGGGCTGGGGGTAGTGTGAGGAATGGGTCACACAAAGCTGCATTGGAAGGGGGATGTGGGGGGCAGGTTTGGATGTGGCCAGGCTGGAGGGGACCCCAGAGGGCCTGGCCAGCCTGGGCAAGACCAAGGTCAGCAGGCAAATCTTGGAAGAACCAAGCAGCTGGCAGGGGATTCCTGCTCCTGCCTGCATGAATCATAGTTAAGTTGTGCTGGAAGGGACCTTGAGGTCACCTAGTCTTCTGGATGCCTGTGTGCAGATGGGGCGGGGCCTGCTGTGCTGCCCCAGGTACGGATACCCCGACCGTGACTGGGAGGGAAGTGCAGCTTCCCTCTAATCAAGCAATGGCTGGGGAAAGAGGCGGCTAAGGGAGATGCTGGCATGAAGCTCAGTTACGAGGGGCCCAGGCAGAAATCCAGCCAACTTCAGGGAGGCAAAGGGCCCTGTCCCCAAGTGAGTCCACTACAAAGGGGCTGAGCGCCAATCCCCTCCATAGGGCCGGGCCCACTGCCTCCCACCCGTGCTGGGGCCCTGGAGCTGGTCCTGCTGCCCCTGGCATTCACCTGCCCAGGCAGGGTGAGCTTGGAGAAGCCTGGGGTCACCGAGGGAGACGACACGGTGTCGAACCGGGCAGTGTCACCCATGATATGCGGGTCGTAGCCGATGCCCTGGAAGGTGACCAGTGCTGACTCCCCACCGGCCACGTGGATGGAGACATCGACCTGCACGGGAGAGACAAGAAGGGTAGATCCAGGGCATGACCCAAGGGGCTCAGGGCTGGAGCTACCTCTGCGGGAACGAGCCGTCTGCTCTGCTGGGCCCTGAGTCTCAGGGTGTCAAGTGTCCACAGACCCCGGCTGAGACGCATGCACCACGGGTCTGTCACGCTGCTCAGGCCCAAGGGCTCTGGCACTGACTCTCCCTCCCTCTCCTCCTGTCCTTGTCATAGGCATGTGCACGGGTGTGACAGGAGGGAAGGCCAGAGGTTTGGATTCAAGGTGCCATTCTGATGGTCACAGAAGGGTGTGACCTGGCTTGGCATTGACCTAGAGACCTGCCCCAAAGGGTGAGGGATGACCCATGGCCCTGGGTTCTCCCAGGCCCTGGCTCTGGCCCCTTTGCCGACCATGCCAGGAAGCAGGACAGTTGAACCCATTGCTGCGGGAGCTACGTGATGCAGGCACACCTCTGCGGGCAGCCAGAAGGAGAGTCCTGTCTGCTGTGGAATCAGAACAAATATATGCCTTAAACTTTGATTATTTTAGTTATAAGATGACATAACTGCTTTGTGGAGAATTGCTGGCTCTGTATAGTAGAACAGATAAGAGAAAGTGTTTGTTCTTTGTAACTCCTCTGCAACTGCTTTGCTCACCGCGGCCTTGAAGATAGCAAAAAAGTATGTACAAATCTGATTTCCAGGTGCAAGAAGGAGGTTTATGAACTAACCTCACCTCCCCCATTAGTTCCCATCCTGATTACAGCAAAGAAATAATGAAGTAATATTATAGCCGCTTTTCATGCTAATTTCACTATATGATCACGTGAGTTGTAAGCAACTGTTAAAAAGTATATAAGCCTCCTGATTTTGCTCTTGGGGGGGGACCCCTTCCAAGTGCTTGGGAAATCCATGTCACTTTGGAATCCCCCCCTACAGCAGTAGTTTCTTTTGAATAAAAGCTTCTGCTGACCTGGCCCAAAAGTATGCTGCGTGTGTTTCCACGACACTGCCAATACCACCCAGGACCCAGCCGTGGGGACTCATCTCCTGAGCTGCCCACTCTGCTCTCCAGAAAGGTTGGGCATGGGCATTAAACACAGCTAAGCCTTCCAGCTGAAAGGCACAGGCCAATGATCATGCCCCATAAGGCGACCCCAGGAAAGAACAATGCTCGCAGGTTGTGACTCAGTTTCCCTGACAGTTCTCTGGGAGAAATGGATGGGAATACAGGTATTTGAACCTGAACTGTATCATACTCCTCCACACCAAGGCAGAGAGGTGGGAGTCTGGAATGTGCCTCAGCCATGAGGACAGAGACCTCACCTCCCCAGCGGGGATGTCTGTGTATTCTCTGCTGGATGTAGCTGCTCTAGGACATGTTGCCCAGCTGCTAATATCCCAATAAACTAGGGTCTAGTCTGGAGGAACTTGCTTGGGATTCTTTTGTACAATAAAAGCCTCCAGAGTCATCCTGGTGTAACACCAAATTACACAGCATGCTGGGAAGGAGCAGCAGCAATTCTAGCAGGTGACCCCGGGGGAGACACAATGAAGAAGTGATTTGGAATAAATCTGGAATTTAAAAGCAAGGATGAGTGGACGCAGGTGAGGTCTGTGCTGCGCAGAGCTCTGTGGGGAAGGTGCAGACCAAGAAGCAGAGAGGAAGAAACACAGAAGCGTAACAGCGACTGCAACACAGGAGCTGTCAGAGCCTGGAGGGGCCAGAGGACCAGACACAGGATGTGGGGTTAGGGGGTGCTGGGGGTGGAAAGTCAGCCTATGTCTCTATGGCTAGCTGAGGGGATTGGAGCTCCCTTTTAAATGGGAGGCTTGTTATTTGCCAAGTTGGATTTGTTAATAAATTAAATACAAAGAAGAGATGGGAGAGCGGGATCTGGCGGACACCTCCAGAATGGAGCTGGGCAGGGGAGGAAGCTCATGGCGTCTCGAGAGAGAGGAAAATGTGGAGAAGCCAAGACCTGGGGCAGGACCCTTCCTCCAGGGCGGGAGGGGAGCTTGCAGTGTAGAAGGGTGGAAGCTCCCATTCACCTGCCCCCATCGCAGCCTACACCAGCTTGCTCTGGGCTCTCTGACTTCAGACCCCCGCCTGTGGGACGACTCCTCCCCTGGGATTTTGAGGTGGGGGCAACAGCTTTTATTGGACCATGTTGGACAAGTTCTTGAATGCAGGTGGTTCTTCCATGGGTCTTACCCTGTCTGCACATCAGGGTGGGGGGAACTCAATGAAAGATGGCTGGCTAACGAGGTCCAGCCTGCTGTGACCAGGAAGAGGGTCTGACTCAGCCTGGCTGAGGGTTACAAAGACCTGGTTGAGGAAGTGGAAGCATCGACAGCGTCCGGTAGCGGGCAGAGATGAGGGCCCTTGTACAGCAAATCAGAAAGTGCGCCAATGGGCTGGCTGATGGCTTTCAGGAAGGAACTGCTTGGGCAGCCAGCTGGCCAGGCTCTCCTTTCCCCAGCATAGGTTGCAACTAACCTGTTATCTGAGAAGACTAGCTGAGTTGGGGAAATGAGTCCTGACTGCCTGGTGAGTCAGTCCTGTGATTTACAAGGTAACTAGGGAGGCTGGTGGGGTCCTGCTCAGTTATGCTGGCAGCGCCAAGGGCGGCCCCATGGCCCATCACTCAGCTGTGTGCTGGGGAACCCTACCGAGTACGTTCTGGCCTCCAGCGGGGAGAAGACCCACTCAATGTGCCCCATCGTGCCGGGGCCGATCTGCCCCTTGGGATTCAGGCAGATGAACACGGGATGCTGGAAGTTCTCCTCGCAGATCCTTTGCATAGGCTCAGGTGGGATCTCGTAGCACACGGGCATGGAGCCCCCGTTGTAGAGCTCATAAACCTGAAGGTGACATGCAAAGGGTGCCTGTCACGGCCCTGGGGAGAGGCCGGTTCAGCCCCGTGGGATCCAATGGAGCAAAAGGTGAGGTGGGGGAGAGAGGTGGCCACGCTGGTGTCGTGGTGGCCAAGGTTGTAGTGGGTGACAGCACGGTACAGTGTGTTGTCACCTGGCCATTGAGCTTTCCCAGTGGGGCCCATAAACCCCAGGCTGGTCTACACTAGGCCGCTGGGGCAACTTCATCCAAAAGGACTAAAGGGGCAACTCTAGACAGCACCAAGCAGCTACGTTCTGAGCCCAAGGAGTCCGAGTTCAATGCAGCCTAACCCACCTCCAGAATCACAGTCCTGGAGCCGTGGGGCTGGCAGGGACCTCCAGAGGTCACATCCAGTCCCAGCCCTGCCTGAGGCAGGATCAGCCCTGTCCAAACCAGGCCAGACAAACCATCATCTAAATTCTGGCACAGCAGACATCACACCCGACCCTGCCCCAGGGAAAGCAGGGGGAACGGAGCCGCCAAGCTCCTGCTTCTATGAAATGTTGTCAATAGATGGCCCAGAGACCCCAGGCAGAGGCCATGCCCCTGCCACAGTGAAAGGCAAAACCCCTCATCCCCAGAACAATCTCACCGGGGTTGAGGGGGAAAGTCCTTCCTGATCTCAAATATGGGGTTGGTCTGACCCTAAGTGGAGGGACAAGACCCCCTAGCCAAGACCCCCAGCTTTGGTCCCAGCAAGGAGGATTGGCGCAGCTCAGCCTGGGGTGCAGCCAACCCCCAAGGCTAGACAAGAGGTTTGTCTGGGGTGGTTTGCACAGAGATGATGCTGCCTCAGGCAGGGAGGGGACTAGATGTGATCTCTGGAGGTCCCCGCCAGCCCCACGGCTCTAGGATTCAATGATTCCTGTCCAACCCCCCCGGACAAACCCCGTGAGCGACCTTGGAGCTGCACAACAGTTTCCCTGACACAACCCCCAGCATCTCCTCCACCTCGGCCCCCGGGAAAGCAGGGGGGCCATGGCCATCAACGTCCTGCTGCTGCCAGGGGGGTTGGTGGGCACTGGAAAGAGCCCAGGCCCAGGCTGTGCCCCCACTGCAGAGGGAGGGGAAACCCCCCAGGCCAGGCTGAGCAGGGGGCAAATCCCTGCCTGCCAGACAGCGTGAGTGGCAGGGCAAGAGCCTGCAGCCAGGGCAGGACCCTGTGGGGCTGAGTCCCAGCAGGAGCACTGACACAGCCCAGGCGCAGCCCCAGCCTGGGCTGCAGCCGACACCCAGCGCCTCTGGAGGGGCTTCAACCCCCAGATCCTGCTGGGGGGGGCAATCAGCACCTCCCCAGCCTGGGACACTCCCATGCAGAGCACAGGCATCACTGTGCCTCGACCCTCCCACCCAGCGCCTGTCCAGCCTCTCCTGGGACCCTCCCATGCTGGCTCACCTACGACTCTGTGGCTCTATGACATAAGGCTGAACATCAAGAACTGCAGTCTGAAGGAGCGAGTCACACAGGGATTTAATGGGGCTTCGTTAATCCACTTGGAAGACCTAATTAGGAATCATTTTCCCAAGGATCCCAGGTAGATGATCCTGCATGCATGGCCAGCAGGACCGTGGGGCAGAGCCAACAAGGGGAGCCAGTGCTGTAGGGAACAGGCAACCCGGTCCGGCAGGATTCATGCAGAGTCAGAGCCCGGCAAAACCTGGCCAGAGCAGGAAGGGGCCACACAGCCCCCCACCATGCCAACACGCCCTGCCCCGGGGCCTGCCCTGCTGCCCTCATGGGGCCATTGCCAGACAGCCATGGAGCCCTTCCCTCACCCTCCCTGGCCAGCAGCGTGGGTTCCCCTGCTGACCTGCTTGGGGGGGCTGGGGCTGCCAATGGCGACGGGGGTGAAGACATGCCTGGTGGTGGTGATGTGGAGATAGGGCTGCCCACACTGCACCGTCATGCCAACGAAGTTCAGCTGCAGCAAAGGCAGGGGAGAGGGAACCGTCAGCTTCCAGTGGAGGAGCGCCTGGACTAACACGCGTGCAGCCCCCAAAGCGCATCCGAGACCCCCCAGCAGGCTGGGGCCGAGAGGGAACCCAAAGGAAACCCAAGCCTTGGCTTGACCTCCATCTGTCAGCAGCCTCTCTGCAGGCCCAAGAGCACCAGGCCAAGGGCTTTGTTGGGGAGCACAGCTACGCCCCTGCTTGCAGCTCAAGATGGACTGGCAGCTGCCGCAGCCATGGAAGGAAAGGAGAAGGGAGCTGGGAGCACAGGGGGCAGGAGGGGTGAGGCCGGGGTGGGGATCCAGGGCAGCAGGCGCTTGTAGGGGGTGCCTGCTCCAGGGACGGAGAGGGGCACGGGCAGAGGGTAGATGGCGCGGGTCCCTGCCCCAGTGGGTGACAGCAGAGGTGGCCAGGGACGAGGTTCGCAGAAGAAGGGACAAGTGCAAGGCAGATCTAGGACCCCAGGGGGGCAGTTCTGGGCTGGAACTAGAAAGGAGCGGGCCAGTGGGTCATCACTGGAGGCTGCCGGGCACTAGCACGTAGCCCAACACAGGACAGACCCATGGAGCCCCTTCTCCACCTAGGACAGGGAAAGCATTGCCTTAACAGCCACAGGGGTGCCCCTCATGTGGGTCAAGCCCTTCATTACAGCTCCCTGTGCCGGAGCACATGGCAAGGGCAGTACCACGTGGCTGCTGTGGAAAGCACCTGCTTGGGACTTGGCTCACTGCCCTGCCCGCGCTGGCCTAGGGGCTCACTGCCCTGCCCGCGCTGGCTGCCTTACCAGAACCTCACGCCCCAGGACCGGGAGGCAATCAGTGCCGAGGAAGTCATGCCTGGGAAGGCCGGGAAACCAGTGGGGTCAGAGAGTGAGCAGGGAGCACTAGAAACCCACACGCGGCAGACAGCCACTGCCTTGCTACGGAGTGGCTGCTGCATGAGGACCCGGAAGTGGGGACAGGGGTGCTGGTGTTTAGAGAGGCATGGTGCTGAGCCAGAAACCCCAATGCACCAGCCCAGCCCTCACCAGTCTGCCTGCGTGAAAGCAGCAGAGATGCAGCCTCTGGGGACCGGGCACTGGAGGACAGAGCGTGTTCACAACCGACGTGGGGCGGGGAATCCCCATGGCACAGGACGGCCATGACTGCTCCACGTTCAAAGCAGAGGTGGAAGCACAGAGCTGGAGGGCATCGGCTCCCCCACTGCCCCCGGCTGGCTGGGGCAGGCCACGTTCTCAGAGTACGCTCCTGCAAGCCTCAGTTTACTCCCACCAGGACCAGCTCCCTGGGGGCCTGGCCTGGGACTTGCTCCGAGAGCGTCTATACAGTCACGGCTGGGTATGCACTGTCCTAGATGAGTAGCCCCTGCCTGAGAATCAGGGCCCTGCTGCCCTGGGGCAGGGGTTAGGGAGGTACCGTCACCTGTGCGTGAGCTGCACGGGCTTCTCCTGCCCGGGAAGGAGATGACCTGCCCGCGGGGACACGTCAAAGAGCTGGTTGTCCTGCACCCTCATGTGGTGCAGCTCGCAGGGGCCCAACTCCACATCTTCTGCCCAGTGCTCCATGTCGATCTTCTGGTCCGCGGGGAACAGGAAGGCCCTAGAGGAGCCGGTGAGGCCAGTCAGCTGCAGCAGGGTCCAGAGCCTCCCTGAGGCAAACATACTGGGGCTGACCCACAGCCCAGCTGCGGGGGCCACTGGGACCCTTAGGCATTACTGCGTGGA